GGGGGCGGGGTAGGAGAGGTAGAAGGGTGGACGAGGGGTTGAATCGCAAAAGAAGTAAAAGGTGAGGGAAATGTCAGCAGCGCAGCACGGCTACCTCATCAGAACGGGGGGAAGCGAAAGGGGCGGGCGTGGCGGGGGCGTTCTGCTGAGGGCAGCGCGGCGGCGGTGCGAGGCGAGTGGGAGGAGGGGGCGGGGAGGGTGAGGAAGATATGAAATCGGAGAGCCAACGCCGCCCGCGGCCGCCGCGCAACGCTCTTACAGTCCGCTGAAATGGAATGATCGCAGACCCAGCCAGGGCTCTAGAGCGCCGCGGCTGCCCCCCGCCACGCCACGCCCCGCCTCGATCGATCTCTCGAATACCCTGCCGCGCGAAACAGTTCAGCGTAAGTTCGGCGGAACAGAGTTTGTGTGTGTGTGTGTGGGGGGGGGGGGGGCTTTTCAGCGAGTTCGACACCGTAGCGGTATAGGGAAGGAGGGGGCCTTCCAGTTTAATTAAACGGGTACTCGAGGGACGCGGGCTGGGTGTGGCGGGGCGTGGCGTTAACTGAACGAGCCTTGCGACGCGACCCCGCCCCGGGCAGGGCAGGTGACGGGCCTGCCGAGCTTGCAGCGTGCTCGACGCCGCGAGAGATGAGCGAGATAGGGGAAAGCGAAACGAGTAAAATTAAGAAAAATTTGGGTCGACGCGATTACTACCAGACAACAGCATTAGATGAGGGAGGGGGTCCTCCACAGTGCCTCCAAAAGGGCAGGCTGTTGCGGGCTCAACGCATCATGCTCGCAGGTGAAAGAGCCCGCAAGAGCCCGCAAGGTAGATTGACAAGCCCGCACGAGCCCGCACATTTTTTCAAGTATAAAATTTTCATATTATTTCTAATTAAATTGATTTTTTGCCTTGACAGATCTTACTATTGGATGCCATTCTTTAGATATGTCGAGGCAAAAAATCAATTTAATTAGAAATAATATGAAAATTTTATACTTGAAAAAATGTGCGGGCTCGTGCGGGCTTGTCAATCTACCTTGCGGGCTCTTGCGGGCTCTTTCACCTGCGAGCATGATGCGTTGAGCCCGCAACAGCCTGCCCTTTTGGAGGCACTGGTCCTCCAACGGAGCAGCAGCAGCAGGGCAGAAGAGTAGAACGAAACGGGGGTGTTCATCTTTTAAAACAAAACGACAGACGCGGGGCGGCGCGTGAGCTATACTCTGTTTCACCCAAAGAATAGACTCAGGTAGGGCCTAACCAGGGTCTGGCCTGGCCCGGCCGGGGCCCGACCCTCGCCAGCTCCCCGGCTCTGGTGTCACATGTGGCCCGCCCCCGCACAGCGGGCAGCGGTGGCGTGGCGTGGCGGAACCAAATGGAGCGCCTGACTGAGGCCAACCAAGGTTGCAATTGGCGTTCAAGTACTCGTTGAATTTGCAAACAAGTCCCAGATTTGATCAAGTTGACCCCACAAACCCTAGGTGTAAAAAAAAGCAGAAAGTTGTACGGTTATTTTGAGGAATTCTTGCTTGCATTTTAATCCAATGCCAAATCATGAACCTTGGGCCAAAAGAGGCCTCGTGGTTAGTCAAGTCAAGTCAAATCACCACCGCAATTAAGAACTCCTCAAAATAACCGTACAACTTTCTGCTTTTTGTTACACCTAGGGTTTGTGGGGTCAACTTAATCAAATCTGGGACTTGTTTGCAAATTCAACGAGTACTTGAACGCCAATTGCAACCTTGGTTGGCCTCAGTCAGGCGCTCCATTTGGTTCCGCCACGCCACGCCACCGCTGCCCGCTGTGCGGGGGCGGGCCACATGTGACACCAGAGCCGGGGAGCTGGCGAGGGTCGGGCCCCGGCCGGGCCAGGCCAGACCCTGGTTAGGCCCTACCTGAGTCTATTCTTTGGGTGAAACAGAGTATATACACACACACGCCGGAGGGCCCCACACGATGCAGAGCGAGAGAGAGAGAGAGTTAGAGCGATAGAGAGGGAGGTTGGTCGGTACTTCCACGGAGAAGAAACAACAGTCGCACTATAGGCCTGCCATCTGTGCCTATGGGGTCCGCCACCACCACCACCGGGCCGCCCGCGGCTACAACCACCACCACCACGACGTGAAGCGGCAAGGCGGCGGCACGGCGGCACCCATCTCCACGCACTCACCGAGAAAAGATACTTATTCGACTGTTCTTCTTTATCTCCCGCTCTGTGTGTGCAGAGTTTCTCGAATGTTGTGTGTGTGTGTGTGGGGGGGGGGGGAGGTGCTGAGGGGAGAGAGGAGGAGAAAGGCGGCGCTCCTCACCCACACACAATTATACCACGGTCGCGCCAGGTATTTAGGGTTGGCAGCCCTGGAAAGTTTCCGGAAAATTTCAGGAAAATGTCTGGAAAATTTCTGGAAAAGACGGAAAATTTCCGGAAAAAATGAAAATTTTCCCAGATTTTGGAAAGTTTTCCGTTATTTTCTGTATATTTTCGGAAAGTTTTCGAAAATTTTCTGGAAAATTTGGGAAATTTCCAACCCTACAGGTAGTAATGGTTTTAAAAACGCCTGCCTTTTTCGGCAGTGTAGGCTGCTGCACCTACTTCTCGCCGTGAGCCGCCGCCGGTTGCAGTTGCTGCACAGACACACCGGGGCGGGGCGGGTGCGCCATCAGCAGCGGCAGCAGCGGTGCACAGGAAGTACAGGGAAGAAAAGGGTCCGGGCGGGGGCGGGGCGGGGCGGGGCCAGCGGAAGGAACCGAAGCTTAGGGTGGCCAACCACCGGAAGTGAGCCCTGCTAGGGTGGCCGCTCCGGGCGCTCCGGGCCTATGGCTCCGGCAGCGCGCGCTGGCACAGGTCACAGGGGTCACAGGTCACCTCCTCCTGAGCCTCCACGTGCAAGGACAAACGGTGGTTGTGGTGGTGGTGTTCCAAGAACAGCGCACGACCCAGCTAGCTAGCGCGTCGTTATCGGGAGCGCCGACACGAGGTCGCGATCCCTCTGCAAACTCACTCAGAAGACCCACGACGACGACGACACGGCTTGAAAACGGCGCGCCGTTCAGGGCGGCGGTGGAACCGCGCAAGCGAAACATTTAAATTGGCTCATTTCGGCGTCGCGTCATACAAGCCCCGCGGAGTATATTCAAAGTCGCAGCAGAGCCAAGTCGCTGACGTCTTCCAGCTTCCAGCAGCAGCAGCCCCCGTGCGCATTGTGTGTGTGTTGTGAGCTCGGCTAGCACCTGGCGTCGGCGGGGAGCGGGAGGGAGGGAGGGAGGCACGTCTCCCTCCTGGGCCCGGGGGTCGTCATCCCGAGGGAAGCAGCGTTGCTAAGGGGCGAGATATCCAGGTGCGAAGCCGCGATCCCTCCCCGCGCTCAGCCGCCGCCGCCCCAGGCAGGCCCCGCAGGCCCCGGGACCCCGAGGAGGACACGGCAGAAAGGGGGATGATCACGACAGCAGCGCGGCGGTCATTGTTCGGGGTCCAGAGGATAACGACGACGACGGCGGCGGCGGCGGAGGCTGGCTATAGTGCGCAGCCCCCCCCCCCTCACCCCACCTACCAG